TACTATAATAACCCCACCGTCGTCTCCCTGTCTTTCCTAGGCCGATGGAGGAGGGGGAATTAGAGATCATCGTCTCCCGAACGGTCAGTGATCCCGTCCACTTTTGCTTTCTCGACTCTCACTTTCGTCCTTTCTTCCACCTCGTCGGCACATATGCAATGAATAAATTTAGACGAGGGTAAACTTGCTTCCACACCGTATGGGCTATCCTTTCGCTTCGCCGCGATTCCGAATCTGCCTATGTGCAAATGAGGCATATTTAAAGTTGGACTTGCCCGTGTAAAAAAAAATTAAATATTTAAAAAATATATAAATATATAAAATATTTTATAAAAATTCTATCCTGAGTTGAGAGCTGAATGTTTGCAACGTCGCACGGGAAAGCATCGAAAAACTCTCCTTTCACATTTCCTATTATGTTCCATATGTTCATGTCTCTATCGTAGTGATCCACTTCTCTCCTACCCTCGGTTTATAGAAAGAACTATGTCTTGATGTTAAAAATGAGAAAGAGCTGCAATTCCCGCGCGATTAATGGTTTCCCGTCTGAGTTTCCTCCATTTCCCTTCTCGGCTCACCGCGAATCCAGTTTCTATGGAACGTCTGACGTAGGAGTGCGAATATCGTAACTCGTACAATGTCGGTAATGTATAATTTTTTTTAAATACCAGTTTCCTTGCTGAATTGATGCTTTGACTGATTTGAATCCATCTTGAGGTTTGACCAGCGACCCGAAAGCTCTTGAAATCGATGAGCATGAGGCCTTAATATGCGCGATATTTAAGTCGGCGACGGACGACGATGTGACTCCACGTTTCAGAGTTTCTTTGGCGAAATCGGAGAATTGATTGAGCCAAGTTTTACGTCTCTGTTTTGAAAATATGCCCAAATGGCATTTATTTCACATGAATTTTGATGTCACTATGATATTCCGCTCTCACGTCCTTCATCTTCCTCGCTATAAACTTCGTTAAATATTCTCCTTCCTGCCCTTATCCGTCTCTAAGGGTGTAAAAAAAAAAAAAAACTCTGTTAGCAACCACTCGAAAATGCATATTGGCGGCACTCGAGCCCAAGGGGTGTGTCCATTCCACTTGATTCCATCGGCCAGGATTTCGTAATGCCACATCAGGCCGTACTGCGTATCACACATGAGCGACGATATTACGTAAAACTGCGCAGGGGAGTCCGGGCAGATCTCGCCTCAAACAAATGACAGACTTTCTCTGATATGCAATGTTTGTATACCTGATGTCACGAACGCGGCGGCGATTTCTCGCCGCTCTGAAGAGCCAGAGCCACTCGACATGGGATTAAGAGGACTTAAAAAGCCCAGAACTAAAATGGAATTCAAACTGGAATAACCAAAAAGCGGGTCTTCGATTCAGCGTCGTAGGATGAAGAATCCAAAGGATATTTCTAAGCTTATCCCAACACGTGGAATACTTTTAAATGCCTTATATATTGCAGAGGTGGACTCATGAAGATGGGAAAGGGAGCAGGGGGGGGGGGGGGGGGGGGGGGGGGGGGGGGGGGAGGTGGGGAAAGGGCTGGGGAGCACAGCTGCCTTGATCTTTCAATAGCATGTGGGCCTTCTCATTAAGACATTTATGGATCAGCGACTAGATGGTGCAATGCCTATGTGCTTTCGGGTATTCTGTGACTACCGTTTGAAATGTGCACACCTGTCTCCTCCTCAGATATGCTTTCGGTAATGAATGCTCCATTTATGATGCCCTTTAGAAGACATCTGTGCAGCACGCTTCCGATCCCCGTATGACTTTCAGTCATGCCCTGGCTATTTTTCTCCCGACGTCGGAAATCGTGGAATTTTCTCTCCCGGCTCCCTTCCGTCTCCCCCGCGTCGGCTCTCTGAATGGGAAAAGGAAGTTTCTGTTTTCCTGGATGGCGCAGATGGATGGTGCGAACCCGAAGAGAATAATGAGTAGGAAGTGAGAAACGGAATTCCTAGAAAGGGTTATTTTTTAGATTTCCCTTCCGCGAAAACGAGGAACTCGAGTAACGGAGATCGATTTATTATTCGCAAATATTGCGGATGCCTTGACGTCGCGGTCCCGTTGCCTGGCATGCAAAAAAAAATTCACTTTCACTCGACTATTGCCCCTTAGCTTTCAATCCCGCAGGATCGAAAGCCAAGGACCAATGAAAGGTTCTGTACACGAGCAGCACCTTTCATTAGGAAGATGGCTCACGAAACTCCCATTAAAACTGCCATTTCCCTTTTGAGCCCTTCGCAGAAACAGTCTCATCTTTGTGGTGGGTTGTGCCAACCTGGTTATTGCGCAGTGCCGCTCTCACTAAAATCAAAAGGGATCGAAAGTATTTTGATCCCTTCTCAGGAGATGCGACAACGAATCTAGATTCAAATCATCTCATCTCTAACCTGCATGGTAGGCACGTGGTGTTTCCATCTTCTCTAACGCGAGCCTGCGCCTCCCCAAGCGAATTCGTTTCGGCTTTTTGGTGTAAATGTGGAAGTACAAAGAAATTGGATCGTTTTTCAAATGCCCCTAAAACATCAGTGGCTTACCGAATGTGAGAGAACTTTTGCTCGCGCGGAAGGCCGCTTTGAAGCGAAAAAAAAATCAGGACTGTTAGGAACACCACCATAATAAATCTTTGTCGCCAATTAATGCGCTGATGCTACTCGTGCATCTGGCCATATATAGAAGCCACTCATTGTCTCGAAAAGGAACCCCCCTGACTCATGTTCCAGCAATCTGTTTTCTGCAAGTCATTCCGAATAGAGAATATTCCCACTCATTTAAACTGTAAGCCGACGAGACTTGAATGCGAGTGATGCTTTTCGATCGCGAAAAAATAGTTTCGGTACTCCATCGAGAAGCATGTGCACGTACTATTTAATTTGCACTATCTGTGAGCTTTCATCATGCGATAGTGAATTCAGCACGAATCCCGTCACGTGTCCACGGACGTATCTGCGAGGGAAAGTACCTCCTTTTTCCCCCCATCTGGACAGATCAGGCGGTTCGCACAATTGACGAATTGACGGGGACGTCATTGTCGATGTTTCGGTCGTGCCGCGAGGTTCCTTTCGCGCTTCTTCCTGGTTCCTTTCGCGTTCGTAACAAAACTGACAACAAGTCAAGTTTGATGTCATCGTCACGTTGGCCACCTGCCACCACCTGGCAGATGACGCTGCCATCATCTACATTAACCGTCATCATCTGATGACTTCAAATGATATTAAGGTTTTTTTTTTGTAGAGGGCCCTGAGGCGTTTTCAAGCCTCATTAGAGGCTTTTTAAAATTTTAAATCGAATTTTTTCCTCCCTGTGGTTTCTTCTATATTTCCGCGCTTGTCTATTAGTGAAAGCGAGATGATGGCGAAGTTTGTCGTTAGATAAGCCAAATACTGTAGCCAGGCAAATAATAGTTTCGTTTAATATTGAACATTGCCTTTTTTTTGTGTAGGATTTGCTGTTTCGAAAATGTTCGAAACTAAGGGAACTTGAGTGGTGAAATCTGGCATCGACGAAGGCAAATAACGAATCCACAGCAAATTGAATGAGAATGCAATGCAGAGGAGATTTAAAAAAAAATTTGCTTCACGAGTCTCTCAGCGCGATCATAAAGTTCCACATCGAACGGGGAAAAAAGCTCAGCCGAACGTGGAAAAATGGAGTGGAAGTATGACGGGGTCGGTCTTTCCAGAAATTTCCCTCTTTTCGCTCTCGATTGTTTGAACTCGTGAGACTTTGCAGCCTGGCTTTTCCGCTTCGCTGCCGCCCCATTGCTGTCGGTGTTGACAGAGAGTCATCGCTCTTGGCACGACTTGGTGAATGCTCATGTGAATGCTCATGTGAATGCTCATGTGAAGGCTCATGTGAAGGCTCATGTGAAGTAGGCGAGTCGGATTTCTGAGGGCGTGCTCGTTCAAGGGTGTGAACCGGGAATTTCACCTGGGGATTATTTCCAGGGAGGTTTTTCTGAGTTTGGCGGCCGAGGACCTGTCGCCGCCGTTTCTTTATTTAATTTAAAAAAATTAATATTCATGAGATCTGCCTGGAGAGGGCCTACAGAAGAGATTCCCGGGAACGTCATGACACCAAACGAGTCCCAGAAGTGAAAGTAGAGAAACACGGCGAGAAGATAGAAGCTCAAAATTTTCTTGCATATATATAGGGTTATTATGCGGTCGCTTGACGCTCCAGCACGAAATTTATGCCCCGCAGCCGGGTGAAACGTGGGGATTAGTATGAAGATGGGAACGGTACACGAAAGGAAAATGCCTCATAGGGGGCGCTACCGGCATGACGTCATTGCGCGCATAAAAGTCTATGAGATGAGCATATAAAAGACAATATAAAAATTGAAATAAACGATGAAACAAAATAACGGCAGCTGCAAAGCTCTAGTCCTGTTACGCCGCTCTCGTGTTCAACCCATTCGAGGAACACAACACCGTCAATATACTTTTTTTTTTACTGAACCACTAGAGGACTGATTGTCGGCACTTTACGACTGCCTTTAATAGGCCCATCTAATAGCTGAACTTCTCCGTATACAAATGACGCTCCTATGAAGCACGTTTCGTTTTCGTGTCACGTTCACGACGTCTACGTGCTATTGCCCGAGTTTCACCGAGCCGTGATGCATGGTTTTCCGATAATCTTCGCTGCAGTTTTCAAACTGACTTTCTTATTGGTCCTCGTGCCTCTTGCAGCCCGCTTTTGGTTTATGGCAGTCTGCGAGGGAAGAATTGGCGAAACGTGACGCAGTGGCTCCAATTCACTCAACAGTGGGGGAAAAAAAGAGAGAGCTGGAAACGAAGCTTTCTCGAAATGTTGAGCTTGTTATCGCCCGCGTCAAGTGTCAGGCAATCATTTTCCCCGAAACGCGTAAAAACGGAACGCGAAACGCCACAATGGAGATAGAGCGTGCCGAAGCACTCGAATACGAGACGATGTCGACGCACGTGTCTTTGCCCTGAAAAACCAGAACGCTGGTTTTTACTAATGCGTGACGCCTATATTCTCCGGTATGGTAAGCACGCCGAAAATTAATTAGAAACCCCGAAGAGCGGAAGAAAGGTTGAATTAAGCGGATTCTAATTGCCTCTGGGGGATTTTGTCGGTTTTTTTGCAGTAAGCACGAATGATTTTTTTTTTACATATAAATCTCATTATTCATTAATTTCCCATGCACTCTGGGAAGAGATGCTTGAATTCCCTTCTGAGAAGAGATGCTTGAATTCCCTTCTTCGCCTACTTCTATGGCCATTTGATTCTTCGGATCCTTTTGGGATCGGCGCTTATTAACGCCTTTTGGGCTCCTCTTTCGCGATTCCCCGAGCGGAAAATATGAAAATGTTTTACTTTCCTTGCTTCGCTCGGGTGAAAGTGCCTCGCTGCCATTGTTATCGTGATTCCAGCGGCCGTGAAGCTGGATTGTGACGAACCCCGAAATCCTCTTGCTTTTCCTTTCCCTCTTGCCGTTGTCGTGGGCATCTTCTGGTTTCTTTCGGATTTCGAGGAGCCCTTAATAAAAAAAAAAAAAAAAAAGGGGGATTGAAAGAAATAGAGCGAGGTTCGATTGACATTTTCTCATCGGGCGTGAAGAGAACAAAGACATCAGTGTACAACCTTCCCGGTGGATTCCCGAGTCCCTGCAGTGGAACACGACCGCCGGTTTCCGTTACCGCACCGTTAACCCCCCGTAGACCTCATTCAGTCCCCCCCATTCCTCGCAATGCGACGAGGTGACCCGAATCACGTCGATCTGCATGACTGATATCACCTCCCTGTCATCAGCCGCGTTTTTTTTCCCCTTCCTCGTTTCACTCGTGCGTCATTCTCGATCGATATTTGGGAGGGGTGGACGGGCAAAAAAGTGGATTGTGTGAGTCACGTGTGCACGAAGTCCAGGGAAAAGGAGGAAAGAAAGTCAGAGCGAGTCATAGCGAGTCTTTGCGGGTCTTATCCACTCAACATAGCGAGTCTTATCCTCCCCAGAAACATCCTGTTGCCGCTTTGTTCCTCGGTCGTCGGATTACGCGTGATCGACCGTGACTGGACTCGGTTTCCCTTCTCCAGTCGGTGTTTTTTTTTTTTCTTTCGGCCTCTCAAGGTCTTGCATTGTGCCAGGGACGGGCGGTAGCTTGGATTCGTTTCCACTCCGTCTGTGAACGTGCTTGGGATGTGTGCTCGGGTTTCTCGGGGGGGAAAGTACTCCGCTCGGCGTCGAGTGTGCTTTTTCGTTTTCTCTGCGATTTTTTTGCGAGACTCGTTCGAATGCTGCTCTCGTGGATCCTCGCGTTCGACTGCGAGAGCAGAAAATTGGGATCGGTTGCGGTGGTGTGCGCGTGTTTGTGGGTCATATGCAGGGAGGAATAACGGTCGATTTAATTCCGTCCAATCTCGTAGATGTCACTCGTTAAGATATTCATCGGGATCCACGTGCCTGTGACGATTCAGGACGAGTCGCGAAAATTCCCGACGTGCCAGTCCGATCCGAGAACGTTTTTTAACGATGCCGAATCGCTAATAGGTTCACCAGTTACTAGATCTAGCTCATACTCTTGGTTCCAAGAGTTTCTTGCTTTCTCTGCTCCGAGCACCAAGTCCGACACCGAGACGATGCCGTAGAAGTGGATCGGATTTTTTTTCCCCGTCTCTCATGCCCGCGAGTTTCCCATATACGAAGCTGAAAGGTGCGTCTATACGCGGCGGAAAGTGCACTGTCATCATAGCACAATGCGACCGAGTTCCACTCGATGTTGTCGAAAAAAAAATGTAGGACGTGACTAAAGTCCATAGAGACTTATGACCGTGTCGTACAATAGCGAGAGGTATTTGAAAGTTAGCATCCCCGAACAATAGCGGCGCAAAATATTTCCGTGGAGTCAAAGGAAACAATTGATCCATTCGGACTATTTCATTCCTAGCAAGGCCAAATTTTTTTAAAATGAAAAATGAGTTTTCACTTCTCGAGAATTTTTTTTGCCTCGCTGAGGGCGGGGGGAATCCTGCAAGAGATAGGTTGGTTCGATTGAAAACCGTCGACGAATTCGTCACGGAAGAGGGAATTCCACAACTTTTGTCTCATTGGATTTTTTTTTCGACGATACGGCCGGCCGTACTTTCTTTCGTGAACTGTAGCGACGCAGCATTCACTTTATTATTTCGCATCGGATGAATTTCGTCCAATATCACCTCGGAGATCCCAGGAATTCCTTCCAATACCGTGCATCGTGTTGTCGAGCTGTGGATTAAGACATTAAGCTGCCCTTTCTCTCCGTGTTTTGTCATCTTCCTATTTGAAAGAGACAATACGTAAGTGAGGTGTGGAAAGCAGGAAAAAAAGTAAATTTAAGAGAAAGGAGGGGCTGAACCGTGCGAAAGTAGCTTAACTGTGACGTACAATCATGCACGATTTATTTTCCGGGACAGGACAAGGAAGAGCAGCGGTTTCTTCTATTAACGTACTTCCTTGATTAAACCGGTTCTCTCTACTAACCTTGAGATAAGAAAGAAGTTGGGGATGAGGAGCAGGAATATCCCGTTCTGCTCTTCTGGTTTTGAAAGGGAAAATCGGTTAGAGGGAACGAGAGAGAGAGGAGCGATTAAAAAAAATCCCTTCCCTGTCTCCCATAAAGTGTTCAAACGAGACCCCATCATTAACTTTTCACTTTCCCGCCTGCCATCTGCTACCAGGTTGTTTCTTCCCTTCAGGTTACCTCATCCCCCGAGCAGTGCGCAGCGAGAGTCCGAGTGGGAGGATGTTGAAGGCGGCCAGCTCGCCTCATCGGCGTCACGAACCCGATGACGGCCTCATCCTACCTCAGAAGATCACGAATCCCTGCCTTCAGAGCCCGGAAAGGAGGAATCTGCATCGGGAACTTCTCTTCAACCAGAAAACGTGAGTCCCTAGATCCCCTTTTTAGAAACGGTCGAAAGAGAATGACTTCGCCTTATCCCTCCTAAAGGGCTTTGCATAGTTTAGTTATGTCTACGCGTCATAGCTAAGCTATGCAAATTCTTCTCCGGTTTCTGCCTCGTCTCATTCCTAGAAATGGCAGACTTGCATTATGATGTAGATATATCCGTATGTCTTCGCGGAATTACAATGACTCAGGCAAGATTCTCCTTAATTGCATGAATTGCCCAGAGAACCGGTTGGTCATCTAAAGGAGGTTCTTTCGCAAGCCTTCCTAGCCCTGACTTAGAAATAATAACACTGGAGATATTGTGTTAGCTTGAAGGTTTTCGTTCTTAATGGGACCTTGACAAGTATTGGACCTATAAGTAATAGCATAGATTCTTCGTTACGATACCCTACATAAGCACCTTGTATTCAAAATTCTCTTGGATACATTGTTAAAGAGTCCCTGACATCAGCTGACAAACCCTGGATCGTAGGTGAAGGTGGAAGTGCTTTCCCATGTTATAGTGAAACCTGGCATCCAGACATTAACGGGCCGACCACCCGCAAAAAAAACCGTTTTCCGCGGAACGGAAATTACATGCATTGTCATCACGGGAAACATGCATTCGCCATAAGGACAATGGATTTTAAGCCTCTGTGAGCCGACCAACTGTCCAAAAGACCATTATCGCTTTGAACCATCAGTGGTCGCCTTAAAGGAGTTACACCGTACTTAGTACGTGATGCCCCGGATAATGAGAGCGGGGGAGAGGGAGTGATAGTAAAGGATGTATTCTCCTTCACCAGCAAGCGTGAAATGGGAAAATTCTTACCATTATACGTACCTTTAGACCAATTTCTTCCAGCTTTTTTTTTGTTGCGAAGCTTCATGAAAGTAGTTTAACAGTCGAATAAATCTTCAACGGTCCATCCTTTTTCAACCGCCTTAACGATCTGTTACTGGGTCCAGGAGACACATCAGGTAATATTTGGGATGAATCTCTGCATCGAGCAAACCCCTGAGTAAGCTCAGACTGGGTGGAACGATTTCTTTCCCCTGGTGCAGCAGGAAGCACTGCATAAAAATCCAAAGTCTGGCTTCGAAAGCCATAAATCTCTTTTATTGCGAATTTTCTCGAGAGGAAAAATGCGTTTCCTGCTTCCACTCGAGTCGTTCGCCCACGTCACGCCGCTGAAAATCGAAAGGAACGATTTCGCCGTATATCCTTACTTCCGCTGTGATACGGTCACGAAATTCATTTTAATGGAGGACTGCTCCAGGAGTTTTGTAATGATTCTCAATACTGCCTCGTTTCATTTCGATACACGAGACAACAGTCACGGCAAAGTGCTGAGCCCGCTCTTTTTGACGACCGCAGGCAATCTGTGACTCCGCGGGACTTACCGTTACTTTTATTCCGTTATCGTGCCTGTCTTCGATGATGGGAAGTTCATTTCTTCGGTGATTTGATCTCAGGGGAATCATCCAATATTCATACTATTATTCAGCTGCGAGTCTAGGCTTGTTCTCTCTGAACTAAATCTCCATAACAAGAATGTTGAGAAAATCGCCAAGTAAACATTTCAACGTTTAAAATTCCAGATCAATATCTATGAGAAATAAATCTGAACACTCATGAACTTAGATTGGAAGGGGTCAAGTTTCTTGGAAGAAAAATATGATCTCCAATGGATACGCTCCAGCCGCATGTGGTATAAACGATTGAAGTAACGTTATTACTAGATGGACCTTCAGTTTCATTTCTATCTCTCACGGGACCTACTAAAGGACCTTATATATGCAATGGAAGAGGGCATCCCCAGTTGTATTGGAGCGTTATTGTGCCAGATATGTATACGCCTGCACGTTTGAACGCGTATATATTTTTATTTTTGGAGTTCTCTGCGTCCTTAATGTTTTCGCGATTAATTAACACACCCTTTAAATGCAAACCATTGTTGTCTATGGGCCTACCGACAGCGGCGGAGCTTATGCTCCAGTTTTACGTATGACGTGAACTGGTATTCTGTAGATGTCCCAAGAGTCGAAACACGGTAGCGCCAGTTAAAAATGGCTAAAAATGGTCAAATTAGTCAAATTACTCTGAGAAACCGATCTCCAGTAAATATTTGGTCTCAGTTTGTCCTCAGTACTTATAAACGTTTTCCCCATGAACTACACTCTAGACACGAGGGATGTACAATTGTTAAGATTTCGTTACGTTTCGCATTCCCGAATATCCAAGGAATGAAGCGCTACATAAATGAAGCTACATACGAGGCGCATCCAAGAAAATGAGCTTCAATTTGTTCACGTGTCTACCAAAGTAAAGAGAAATACTAATCGTATCACGTTCTTGATGTGTTTGCTAACATACTCTAGAAAAGTTCATCTGGTGATATTTTACGAACAAAATGATTAATACTGATTTATTTTTTTCAGACAATAGGTGAAGATGCCTCCCTTCAGTAAAGAAAAGCAGATTTGCTTCGTGTCATTACAGGAGATTAAAAAAATGAACTTTCACAATGAACTGAACAGTACGTCAATATTTCCTAAAATCAGTCTGTCTGTTCACAAACTTATGTGAGCAAGTTAATTTTTATTCATCGAGTTCGGGTTCAGCAATTTCCCAATACTGTGATAACGAAAAATTCGCTGCTGCTCTTCAAAAGTTGATCTAAACACGGTAACAAGTTCGGAGACAATTTCAAGATAATAGCTTGTATTGAACGATATGACTTAACTTTCCATTAAAAAAATTCAATATTAGAGCTTTTCGAATGCACCTCGTATTTTTTTTATCATTTCATTCGGCTTTATCTCAAGCTTAAAATTCCTGACCATGGCTTTTGAAACCCTCCCCCCCCCAGCTTTGACAGTCAAAGCAAATAAATCCTGTCCATGATCCGTCGTTTTCCTTGTATGTACGTATAATATATGACCTGGGCATAAAGCATAGCCTTCATCAGGAAATTATAATTGATATTTTCTCTGGCGTCGTGGTGCTAGAAACAATATGGAAAGCTTAAGCACTCTCTCATAGTACTGTACCATAATCTAAAAATGAGATTTTGACATTTTTTTTCGAAAAGCAGAATTAGGATTTTTGCTATGTTCCTTCGCACACAAGCTGCTCCTGACGTTCCCTGAGACTCCTCTCGAGACGGGACCAAGTTAATCGATGCTTTACCCCGTAGTTGGACTGTGACGGACATGACACTCAAGGAGGGAAGGGAGAAGGAGAGGTGTGATCCATATGATGGTGCCGGGTCAGGTGTTTCGAATAAGGGACACTCCGTCACGCCTCGTATAATCGTCACCACAGAACGTCACGCCCACGTCCTTTGTCCTCTTTTTTTTTTTTCTTCTCCCCTTTGTCCTCTTCTTTAATCCCAAAGCCCAATGAAGTACCTTTTTTTTTCCTTCGCTTGGCGGGGTCCTCACACCAGTTCTTTTCTTCACATGGTAATTCGGTAACGTCAGCAAATGGATATCAGTAACGAAACACCGCAGAAGTAATAAAATTCATTATTCAGAAGTAATTATTACTCAGAGGCATAGGCCAATCGTTAAAGGCAACTGATGAGACGTCATTTCTTCGAATTGTAGGATCTACCTTGCCACCATGCGTATATTAACCCTCTTAACACGGCCGGGTCGACATATCGGCCTCGATGCCCGTCCCTAAAGCACGGCTGGGCGATATGTCGGCCCTAAAATTGTAAGCAACTTCATCTATTGGCTGTAGAAATCCCGTGACTAATAGTTTTCAATCCATTTGAATCGTTTGGTCGTTATTGTTTGTCTAATTACAGCTTCCGTGATATTGGCCATTGTAGCCAAATTCACCCCGTGTTAAAAGGGTTAATGTTCCGAAGAGAAAATTCTTGAACGTATGAACTTTTCCTTCCAGAGGTCGAAACGTCCTGAATCAGAAGACTGAATTGCAGAGAGCACTGCAGAGGCATCAAGATAACATCCGCCAGAAGGAGCAAGAACTAGAAAAGACCTCCCAACAGACCTCCCTCGAAAAGGCCCTTCATGCTCAGGCACTCAAGCTTCACGAGGTTCTGCAGCCTTCCCCCTATCTCATTCTTTCTGTCATCCATTAACTGTCTCGAATGCTCTAATTGAAGGAGGGAGTTGCCGTGTTGTCGTGCTAGGGCAAAGGTTCTCAATCTTCATGTTTCGTTGCACGCGGCGTGAAGCTTTCAGGGTTGGTGAAAGAGATTTTTGCGATCATGATGTGTCGAAAAAACCAACACTTTCGAAGTCCATCGCTACAAGTTTTCCAGAATTTAAAAAATGTTATCTCAACAGAGTTTCTTTCATAACTTGGCCATCTCGTCTCCGAGGTAGATCTATAGTGTCCTATTGCGGAATTTCAGGGCTGCCATCGCAAGGAAATTTACTATTTTCTGGCCAATTAAATCAATGGCTCGGTGCTTGATAGTGCTCAGCTAGTAACTTGTATTTTCTAATATTCAATGCTTGAAATAAATCAACATAAAGATGGAGGATTGAGGCCTCCACCTGCCAGTTGGGTCGTGATGTAAAAAAAGAACATTTGAAATGTTCCGAGTGCTCTGTCAACTTTCAAGATAGCGAAATCGTGTTAATAAAGCTTGTAAAGCTTATCACCTTGCGTCAAGAGCTTCAGTCAGAAGCTGCACTTGTCTTACGACAGTGCATTCTTCCTTGCAGCTTAGAGGTGCAAGGTGTGAGGGCCTTTTTATCGTCGAAACAACCTGCTATTGATTTCAGTGTCGGTCATTGTTGACCGACCGTGACAGTCGTTGTTGACTGACCGTGACAGTCATTGTAAAATGGCGGTCAACGATGACTGTCCCTGCCCAGGCTGTCAACGACTGTCATTGAAGTAATTGACGTCAGTAATGAGCTGTCGCGTTTCGAGCTCCAGGGCCCGGAACCTTGAAACACATTGACAGCTTTCATCATCTAGAAAGTCTTACGTCAGTCGAAGGAATAGACTTCGCACTTCCTCTTGACCTTTAACTTTTGCTTTAGAAAGAATTCGGAATGTTCCGAATCCCCTGGATTTCGACCTAGGGGGTCTGGCAGTTTGTATATCGGTATGCACATCATTGTCCATACCGATTTTCCCCAGCACAATAATTGAGCACGGTCGTGCTCTCCACTTTAAAGAAACCACGCACAATAAGCGAAAAGATCCATGAACCATTATATGGAGATACCTGAGAATTACAATGCATTGTCTCAAAGACAATTGAATGAAAACCACTGCCTTATTTCGATACACTCACAGTTACACCCCCCCTTTGAAAAAGAGGTCTGTGGGAGATTGAAGAAAAAATGAGAGGAGAAAGGAGATGTGACCGTGAAACTATGATCGGACGGAGAATTCCGAGACTTTCCCAGCACATCTTGGAAAAAGTTCTCCTCTTGTGATTCGCTGCACCATCAAATTTTCTCATCCGTAACAAATATCTGAGACGACGTAGTTTCCAGGTGCGCACTCATACGAAACGCTCTGTTGCTTGTAATTGCGTTGATTTTGAACTCTCCTGCGAATCATGAAATTCCTACCATGAATTTCTGCCTACCAGCAGACAACGGAATGAAATCTTCACGATGACGTCGTGTTTTTGCGTGGAACTTCGCTATCTTTTGCTTCAGAATGTGCGTGGGTTGCGCTTCCGCTCGCTCATAATCCACACTTCGTCAGTAGATCCGTCCTAATGCAGCTGGGAACCACTGTGGAACCACGCTACTCCCACAGACAGACTGGCCCAGTGGGTAATCCACCCGAGATGATGAGGTTGAAAGGACAGCGTCGTTCCTTTCCCTTCCACTTTAAGACTCTCCCCGACCTCAATACTTCATGCTTTTTTTTTGCAAAGTCCCGAGAAATTTTAAACTGACCCACCATTGTTCTCGAGGATCAGGTTCTCTCGGTGAGTGGCACTAACCAATTTTTTTTTTTTACATGACTCCACTGGAGCACAGGCGAAGGTATGGGCAGGAGCTGCTCGAGAGTAAACACCAACGTGCAATGGCAATCTGAAATCACTGTTCGTCCGTTTGTCTACGAAGGAAAAGTCTGATGACGTATCCGAGGCATGTCGCGCAATTGGTTTTACTTGGTCACATAAGGAGACGCTCTTTACATATATGTAAAGAACTATATCTCCCAAAGTTGCTTCCTTCAAGAAGACATATGAGTAGACCAACTTGTTCCTTGCCGAGAGGTTTAAATCTGTTGAAAAGAAAATCGCGCAAGACCCGACATGGTGGAGGCTTCAATTTCTTCCCTCACGACGTTTTTGATGCAAGGATTTCTTCCTCTGTGAAATGAAAGCTATTGCTGAAATATTTAGTCAGATTGCTGCCGCAATGTTTAATTTCCTAATAAATGCATTCAAGCAGCATTTTTTTACGCTAAAAAAAAAGAGGAACACTTCTCTTCTGCTGGTTCTCGTGTTTTACTGCCCAGAATTTATGATTAAGTAGTTTCATTTTACAAACCATGTTTTTTTTTTTCATTTTCAGCGCGAAATCAAAGACAAAGACAAGTCCCCGGAGCAGCCATCAGTCGCAAACGAGTTCCTCAAAGTCCACGCCAAAGTTCGCTCACGGACCAATTCGGCAACAGACACAATATAACCCTCGATCTATGACCTCATTCCGAGTGCCTCTCCTCACTTCCCCTCACTCAGTGGTGACCAAAAGGACGATTGCACCGTTCGGGTTCCCATGATCCCCCGTCATTCAGCCCAAGTGATATAGCTCAGTCGTGTGTGAAGCCTCCGCCTTTGCTCTCCTTTCGTGTATTCAGCGGCCTGTGTGTGGGCAATGCCTTAAGATGTTCCCCATTCCGAGGCGAAGTCACGCTTCGCTCAAATTGCGTGCCTGAGAATAAAATTCATCGTATTCATATTCTTGAGCGCACTTTAAATGGTTGAAACGTGCAACGATGATCTCAGACGAAATGGATCCGCATTTTTATGCAAGTCGAATTCACAAATCCATCTTGCAAGGAAAGAAGATTTTGTCGGTGCCAAGCTTCAAAAACACCTGAAAAAGCTTCGGCCAGTTGAGTTACGCACAGAGCACACGACCTTGAATGAAGTGCCATTGAGTCCCTTGCACCCGCGTTTCCATTGTCTTTTTTCCATTCCATGATTCCAGAGACCGACTGGCCTTGATCTCATGCCACACAATAGACATATTGGCGCCTTCAGCTCTTGCTCGCTCTCTGGCGGATAAAACGGAACTACTGAAACAGGTAAAAGGCAACAGAGGGAATACAAGAAAATCCTAGCTGGACAGCTGGAGACGAATTCCAGAAAATATATGATACTGGAAAGTGATCAGTTCGGCATAGTGCAATTGCTGATAGTAACTCTAATTTCTTTGGAAACACAATGTAACGGTCTGCACTCAACTTGTTTCTGTGACAAATTTCTCACCGTCTGCAGCCTGTACATTTCCTAAGGCACATAATCCAGCGCTCTCTCATGAAAAGCTCAAATATTGATACATGTATACTTGCCAGAGACGTCCATACACTTCAATCTTTTACACCCAGGGGGTGGGGAGTTCCATTGAAAATTACAGGGTTGCATATAAAGAAAGAACACGTGCTCCTGTCACCAAAACATGGGTGGGGGGTCCCATAATTAACGCACGGCATGGCGCCTTTCATCTGATCAAAGTCGCAGCGGGGCGAGAATACACTAGATTCCCCTGCGCTGCAGACACGCTTGGATTAGCAGTTCCGCCGGAAAACCATGTAGGCTGACATACAGGAAATTTTGATGAATGATACAACGAAATTAATTAATTTCTGTCTGTTCTGGAGGCAAGTCGCGTGCCCTTAAAAAGCGCTCTCAAGCGTTCATGCCATACGGTGACAGTCGGAGTGAGACTCGCATGCACGGAGGCGAGAAATGGACCCCCGCTATTCGAGCAAATTATATCTAGGCTCTTTCGACCTTTATTGACACTATCTTTGACACGATTTTAATGATGCTGAATCATCGTCGTCCGGAATTATCCACCCAAAGGGCGTGGTCATCGCGAAGGCCTCAGCCTTTCACGCCGATTTTGGAATTCTTCAGGTGTCTTCGACTTTCGCCTCCGTGGACATTCGCCCCCGAGACTTAATTAATAGTTGTTAAATTTTCCCTTTGATCTCATCTTGATAAACGAGGCGAGAGTGCAACAGGGCCGACTTTCCAAACGTGGATTTCGTGACTGATAACCCGAACCCTTTCAAAGGGGAGGCAAGGTCACCCGAACCCTTTCAAAGGGGAGGCAAGGTCACCTTTCAATTTCACTTTCCCACCTTGTGGAAGATGGATGCTGAAAAGTCTTAGAGCTGATAGAAAATGTCCTCGTGGATTCAGAAATAATAATTTCTCATGAATTTAAAAAATTAGGTCAGCGATAAAAATATTGCATCTGAATAAACTCCTTCAAATTGTCTACTCAGATGACACAACGTAAAAAAGACTGGGACATTTTTCCCCCCCCATATTTTGTCAGAAGTAGATTCTGGAGACGGTGAATCCGAGCTTCCCTTTGCATTTCTTTTGCTTCCCGATCTTGGCACCCCCAGTCTCCAACGCGATTCCATGTGCGATTGTTCCTTCTGAATCAATGCATATGCATTTATTCTACGATGCCATCCTTCTATGCTTTTTGTAGTCCTCGGCCCAACTCGACCTTGGATTTTTTCCAAACTTCTTTCGACTTTTTGCGCTTTCCAGTGAGATCTATACACGTTTGCCCTCGAGGACGAGCTTCCGCCCCTCGCGGTTTCTATCACCCAACTCATTTTCGATCTTGCACAGGGAGGGATAGTGTAACTAGAAGCAGACATTGTCTCCCCTTTTGAGGGATTGAGGCAGATCTGCGTGTCAGCCTCGAAAAATCAGGCGTCAGTCAGTCGTCCCTGGGCGCTTTCGCCCCAACCGTGTGTAGGTCAGAGATTAAATCCCATCTCGTGTTGCTCGTCAACAGGAACGCTAGGACGAGATTCCACCGGGGCGAAAGTGGAAACAACCTGCAAAGCTGCATAAAATATGGATACCATCCCGTTTTGGCATCAGCAACCTCGTTTCTTCCGTCCGTTTCTCTGCAACTCGAATCAGCCTGGAGTCGCATTCGCGATTTAGGTCAAGATTAGCGCTTAAGATTTACGTTCCTCAACTTATGAGGGGTGATGTATTGGACAGGATCGACCATGGACCTATTTTCTTCTACGAGTTATTCTTCTTCATGAATAAAGAATAAAGCCTCTCTTCGCACGTGGAAGGTGTCCTGCATTTGCAGCTGTATATTTTCGTCCCGTCTACAGTCAATGATATGAAGACGGTTTTTCGCAGCGCCAAAAAGGTTTCTCGAAACGTCCCTGGTTAGAAGAAAGAGCAGGTTGTCTCCTGCAAATAATTATTATACAAAACTTGGCTCCACTTTTATGCGTCGTTGGGGAGTTGAGAGAGAAGGAAAGGACATTGAGTAGAATGCCGATAGGGATAAGTTGTTTTCTTCCAGGCTTGGCTGCCAATTCTGGCCAGCAGTACAGTGAATGGCTAAATAGCACACCATGCATGATAATGTTATGAATGATAAAGAAAGGAAGCAATAAAGAAGTAATTATTTTATGGAAAAAATGGAGGGAGTGAGAGACATAGGAAGAATTTTGGCCGAAAGGAAAAACAAATTCAAACGACGAACATCGGCTTTGAAGTCCTACGCTAAAAAAAAAGGGACAAGTATTGGTCCAGACCAATACAGCGAATTAAACTGGATTCGGCGGAGCAGAATTTATCCCAAATGCAAAGAAATAAACGCCAAACGATATCAACCTCCACAGGAACCTCCTCGCACTCGAGAGAAGACTCGAGGATGCACCCTGCCGTGAGCAGGAGGAAGGAACCCTCCAGATGGGTCAGGGACAGGCGACGACGCACGACCTCATTCTCACCTCCACTCATCACATTCCGCCGCATTCATCATCTGAGAACTTTGACGCACGATCGCTTCCAAGCCATTGCTAGATGAGGCCTTCCATCATTCTCACCAGGTACCAATCCAACGGCGTTTTCCATTCCCAAACTCCCTTCTTTATGGCCCCGCGACCACTGGCTCACCAAAGAAACGGGGAAGGGGCTCATTAAATAATCCACCCGCCGATCCCGGCGACAAGGCATCGCTTTCTTGGAAGACGAATGCGTGGAATTCGGTCATGATTCAGTCAAGCGGAAGATGGTATTTCCGGGCTTCTTTGTAGAACTGGATCAGTCGGTCTGCCAAAAAACCATCAAGGTTGGGTCCCCCAAGTCTCAAAATTGCATCACGAGTCAGTTATCCTAATCCAAGCTCCCTCATTTCGCGTTTCGAATCAACCAGATCCTCCAGGGATTCGGGCCTGGCTTGGAACCGAGGAAGAACGAGAAAGGACACCACACGAT